GGAGACTTTGAGTGGTAAAAGGCCGAGTGGTGAGTTTAATAGAGGGAAAAAGCCATAGTGTGTGTTTTCCGAGTGAAATCTTTGTGAGGCATAAAAAGATTGTGTGATATGATGTCGGAAAGAGAAGGTTCTAATTCAAGCCGAAACGGTAATGACAACAATGCATCGGAGGACATGATAAAAAGGTTTGAAAGGGTACTTGGTGATGTTAGGGAGAAGGTAGATAGGCAAGGGGAATTGATGGCGCAAATGGGTACTACAATTGCTAATCTTAGCGGGGACAAGTGAGCGGGGACAAGTGAGGATGTCTAATGCTAGGGGGTCGGGTTGGCGTAAATCTAGGAGATGAAGGCGGGATGAGTATCATAGTGATGATGATGATTTTGATGAAAATGACATTGATATGGGTCGAGAGAGGCATAGAAGCGATAGGATGGAAAGATGGGGTAGAAATAACTAGGGAGATGAAGTAGATGAAAATTTGAGGAGTATTAAAATGACTATTCCACAATTTAAGAGGAGAAGCGATCCGGAAGCATATTTAGAGTGGGAAAGGAAGGTTGAGATGATTTTTGAGTGCTATAATTATTCGGAGGAGAAAAAGGTAAAATTGGCAGTGCTTGAATTTGTGGATTACGTGATATCTTGGTGGGATCAAGTACTTACATCACGGCGTAGGGGTCGGGAAAGGCCAATTAGCACTTGGGTAAATTGAAGGTGTTGATGAGGAGGAGGTTTGTTCCGAGTCACTATTATAGGGAAATCCATCAAAAATTGTAAGGTTTGTACCAAGGATCGAAAAGCGTAGAGGATTACCACAAGGAGATGAAAATTTTTATGATTTGGGCTAATGTGGAGGAAGATTGGGAAGCTACCATGGCACGATTTTTGAATGGGTTAAATCGGGGTATTGCAAATATTGTAGAATTACAAGAATATGTGGAAATCGAGGACATGTTACATGTGGCAATGAAAGTCGAGAGGCAATTTAAGAGGAAGGGGACGTCTAGGCAACCGTTAGGTACTTCGACTAGTAATCCAACATGGAAATCGAAGTGGGATGACAACAACAAAAATGGGGTTGCACCTAGAGGTAAAAATGATTGGCAAAAGGGAAAGGATGAAAACGCGAGCAAACCAATATCAAAATCGGAGGCACAAACGTCGCGCAATCGTGACATCAAATGTTTTAGGTGTTTTGGAATGGGGAATATTGCTTCTCAATGCCCAAACAAACGGGCGATGGTGTTGCGGGATAATGAAGAGATTGTGAGCGATAGTGATGGCAAGTTTGATGACATGTCGGCGTTGGAGGGTGTTAATGAAGAAGAAAAAGTTGAAGGGTCGGTTAGGGGTCTACTAGTTACAATGCGAGTTCTCACTACTCACGTCAAAGCGGATGACTTGGAGTTGCAACGGGAGAACATTTTCCACACTCGATGTCACGTCAACAATACGGTATGTAGTGTTATAATTGATGGTGGTAGTTGCACTAATGTAGCTAGTGTATCTCTTGTAGAAAAATTGGGTTTAACATTATTGAGGCACCCGAGACTTTATAAATTGCAATGGTTGAATAAGAATGGCGAGGTGAGGGTGAATCGAAGGGTGTTACTTAATTTGTCAATTGGGATTTATAAGGACGAGTTAGTGTGTGATGTGGTGCCAATGCAAGCGGGACATATTTTATTGGGGCGACCATGGCAATACGATAGGAAGGCTATGCATGATGGGTACAAAAATCGATATAGTTTCATTAAGAATGGAAGGACCATTACTCTTGTGCCATTAACACCGACGCAAGTTTATGAGAACCAATTAAAATTGAGAAGTGAGGAAGAGAGGAGAGCAAAAGAGTTAGAAAAAATGAGAGCAAATAGTGAGTGGGAGAAAAAGAGAGAGCAATTACAAGAGAGAAAAGAAAGAAAGTACCCCGAGAGAGGAGAGAAAACACGAGCGAATTTCTTTGCAAAAGAGAGTGATTTGAGGAGGGCGGTCGTTGAGAGAAAAGAGATGATCTTGTTTGTTTATAAGGAATCACTCCTCAATTTTAAGGAAACTAACCCATCCTTCCCTAGTTTGGCTAAATCTTTGTTGCGGGAATTCGACGACGTATTACCTAACTTTGATAAAACATTCGAAATTGAGTGTAATGCATTAGGAATAGGGATTGGAGCAGTTTTAATGCAGGATCGGAGGCCTATCGCATACTTTAGCGAGAAATTGAATGGAGCTGCTTTAAAATATCCTACATATGACAAAGAACTTTATGCACTTGTTCGAGTTTTGGAGACTTGGCAACATTATCTATAGCCGAAGGAGTTCATAATACACACCGATCATGAGTCACTAAAGCATTTGCGGGGACAAGGTAAATTGAATAAGAGGCATGCACGGTGGATGTAATTCATTGGGACCTTTCCATACGTCATTTGGTATAAACAAGGTAAGGAAAATGTGGTGGCGGATGCATTGTCGCGAAGGTACGTATTGCTAACTACTCTTGATTCTAAACTACTTGGCTTTGAACATATTAAGGAATTTTATGAAAAAGATGTTGAATTTTCGGATATTTATTTGTCATGCATAAAAGAGGCGATTGAAAGGTTCTTTAGACATGAGGGATATTTATTTCGGGAAAATAGGTTATGTGTTCCTAATTGTTCTATTCGGGAGTTGTTAGTAAGGGAGGCACATAGTGGTGGATTGATGGGACACTTTGGGGTTCAAACGACTTTAGATGTATTGAAGGAGCATTTTTATTGGCCTAAGATGAAAAGTGATGTTGAGCGAATTTGTAGTCAATGCATAGGTTGTAAAAAGGCTAACTCTAAGGTTTTACCACAAGGTTTGTATACACCTTTACCTACACCTAGTAAGCCTTGGGTTGATATCTCGATGGACTTTGTTTTAGGTTTACCTCGGACTAAGAGAGGTCGGAATTCTATTTTTGTGGTTGTAGATAGGTTCAGCAAAATGACACATTTTATACCATGTCACAAAATTGAGGATGCCACGAACATTGTTGACTTATTCTTTAAAGAGATTGTGCGTTTATGTGGGGTTCCTAGAAGTATAGTGTCGGATCGGGATGTCAAATTTTTGAGTCACTTTTGGAGAGTTTTGTGGGGGTAAGTTAGGCACTAAGTTACTATTTTCCACAACTTGTCACCCACAAACGGATGGACAAACCGAGGTAGTGAATAGGATTATGACACAATTGTTACGCACAGTAATCAATAAAAATTTGAAAAGTTGGGAGGAATGTCTACCATTTGTTGAATTTGCATACAATCAAGTTGTTCACTCTACTACGTCATATTCTCCATTTAAAATTGTATATGGTTTTAATCCACTAACTCTTTTGGATTTAATTCCTTTACCTGTGAATGAACGTGGTAGTTTAGATGACAAAAAGAAGGCGGAATTGGTTAAGTCACTCCATGAAAAGGTAAAAGCGCAAATTGAAAACAAAAGTAAGCTGGTTGCGTCGCAAGCAAACAAAGGTAGGAAGCGCGTGACATTCGAGCCAGGAGATTGGGTTTGGGTGCACCTTAGGAAGGAGCGATTTTCGGAGCAAAGGAAGTTCAAGTTGTAACCGAGGGGCGATGGTCCATTTCAAGTGATTGAAAAGATAAACGACAATACTTACAAGTTGGACCTTCCAGGTGAGTACAATGTTTCGGCTACTTTTAATGTATTTGATCTCTCTCTGTTTGATGTAGGTCCAAATTCGAGGACGAATCCTTTTGAAGAGGGAGGGGATGATATGATCCAGGAGTCGAGCCCGACGAAAGCGAGTGTGAGACGAGATCCGTTGACAGTCGATGGCGGACCAATGACGCGATCAAGGGCAAAGCAAGTAAAACAAGCGATGGGATTGCTCGTTCAATTTGTTATCAAGCGACGAAACCGGAGGCTGAAAACAACCATGTTAAAACAACCATGTTCGGGACTCAAAATGGAGCAACTTGGATCAATTTGTTATCAAGCGACGAAACCGGAGGCTGAAAACAAGCCTGTGCGACCGCACAGCTAAAACATCATGCGGCCGCATAGAGGCATGCCGAAACTCAAGATGAATTTTTGGTTGAACCATACGACCGCATGAAAATACAGCATGCGGCCGCATGGACCAAAAATTTGGCGAATTTTTCAATTTTTCAATTTTGGCAATTTTTCATATTTTGTTAGATTTTGATTCTTTTCCATATTTTGGGGATTATGATCGACTTTTGCACGATTTTTATCTAGTTTTTAGGTTTAGTATAAATAGGAGTTTCCATTCAATTGTTAAAAACTTTTGACATATTTGATATTAAATTAAAAGTGAGGCGTATTGTCTTTCTTCATCATTCTTCATTGACCAATTTCGAACTTATCAAGTGTTAATTTGTGATGTTCAAACAACAGAATTTCATTCTTGAATTGCGTGATCAAGGGGTCTTTCAAGCGCCGTTCTTGTTGAGTTTTTTGGTTCGACTTTCTTTTGGGTTAATCCTAAACGCTTGTATTAATTTGGCTTTCTTGGGTTCATCAATCTCGTTGTGGGTTTTGTAGTCAACGTTGCTACGGGGTTCGCATCACAAAATCACCCCACAACAGTGCTCACAGTTTGCGGCACTTGTCTTTCGAGCTACAATGGATTCAACTTGTGGTAGAAGCACTTCAAACCTTAAGTATCGGCGAACTTTGACAGAGTTTGTCTTACTAGAAGAAAACGGGTTTATAAATGATTTTGAAAGAGGTTTTGCAAGAGAATTATGTAATGCTTAATGCAAGTGTAATATGGGATGCCTAATGGATGTCTAAAGGATCCTAACTATAGAGGATGAGGAGTTATGGGCGAGGTGTTGCATGCCAAACATCGCAACCATATGAACAGAAGCATACCTGCTGTCGCTAGCCTCTCGCTTGTGCGAGTATCAAAATATTTTCAGAAACTTTTTGTCCACCTATCACTAACCTATCGCTTGAGCGACGGTCCCGGCGAGGACTTCCATTGCTATTAAATATGATTTTGAGTTACACTACAAAAATATTGAACTCGCAACTCGGTTGATTAAATAATGCTATAAATAAAAGATTCATAGTGGTAGAGTAATAATTAATAATAATCAGAAGTCGCATTTAAAAGTGATGCGATTTAGATACCTAATGCTACCAGGAGCCAACCATCACTAGACCTTTTATAAGACGATAAAACTCGCGAGAAGCTCCTCCTCGCCATTGCAGCAGCCGCTGAAATTGCTTCACATCACCATCCAGTCTGGTTCTTCTCAATTCTTTAACTGAGATAAGGTAAAAATATTTTCTTTTCTCTTGAATAGAAACAGAAATTTCATAGATTAATTACTAGCATTCTGTGTCACATATTTGAAACTTAATTTTGAAACCCTAAATTGATATTTGGTAATGGCCTTGGTACCTTCATAACCAAACGAACATCCGTCTGAATTTTGTGTAGGTTTTTTTTTTTTTTTACTCTGGAGATTGCATTAATGATTTCGACCAAACTTTTTAGTTTTGACGAAACAACAATCAGTATCTGATTTTTATGATTTGTTCTATTGAGCATATAAATTTATTTTTCTTCTAATTGCAGGGGGATTCTATGGGTTTTTAGCTGTTTTATTTTATTATTATTATTATTTTCTATTTTTTGCAATAAATCTTTGACAAGATCCTTTCTTTATGTTTGTTACAGACTATAGCAATGTCGTCTACAAGGAAACAAATTCAAAAGGATTATATCGAGCGTGCACGAGCTTATCACCAAAAGAAGCAGGCTTTACGGGTAACTTTTGAATTCGAATTTAGTCTTCAAAATCTCTTTTTAGCTTCTATTCGTTGTAAGTCACTGTTTGCCTGCAGAAACTTAAGCTAAAAGCGGCATTGAGGAACCCAGATGAATTTTATTTAAAGAGGATCAAAACAAAAAAATTTGGTGTATTCTACAAGCTAAAGTGAGAACAAATTCTCTAAGTAATATTTCCTTATCTATTTCTAAAATATTTGTTTCCAATTAATTGGAACTCACTTGCTGTATACAATTGCAGGAGAAGAGCAAATAAGTACCTAAAAGATGATCTGAAATATATTTTGCTGAAAAAGGTTTGATTTATATAGATTTCTATTTACTTTAATGTATTGCATTTATGTCCCCATTCTGGTTATTATTTTAAATGAACTCATGATCGTGTCATGATGCTTGAGTTATGAACTCATAATATACAAAATTATTAGCTTATCGTGGGTAACACTTTCGTTGTTATATTTTCTTCTTATCTTAATTATTCTATTATCGACCCAAAAGTAAATGAGAACTTGCAAACCTTGAAACTCTCATACTTGAAGAGATTTCAGTACTCGAAAATAATTTATTTGTGTGATACAGAAAATTAAAGAAATAGATGCCGATATTGAAGCCTCAAAGAGCAGAGTAAAAGAATTATGGAAATTATTAGAGAATCATTTACAGGTAGCTTTCCAACCCCATATTTGCTTAGATGAAATTTGAACCTTGCAAATTTCAATTGTGTTTTAGATTTTTTGTTTATAAAAAAATTTCAAGCTTTTACTCTAATGTTACGTTCTTCTTGTAGAAGGAAAGTGCAACTGTTGAGAATCCAAATCAATTTGTCGATGACGGAGTCCTTACGGAAAATCAAGTAATGGGTGGCTCTTAGACATTGACTACATGTATAGTAGATGAGTATCTAATAAATTTGAAGTAATACTATTATTTTATGTTGATTTTGACTATTATTTATCTTTACACTTTGTTCCTCTTAAGACTTTAATTCTTCTTTGTGAACGTTAATTTTAAAATTGTATTTTTACTTCATCGTAAACATTAATTTTATTAACTTATATAATTTTATTCGATTCTTTATAAATTGTGAATCATGATATGATGCATGTAAGTTATTGATGACCACGAACATATGCGTGTGCGTGTGCGTGTGCGTGTGCGTGTGTGTGTGTATGTTAGCAGCTTCAAATATAATGTCTCCTACCTAGTTTTTGATATCTTATTGAGTAATGTTATTTAGAATAGTTTATGTGGTAGGGGATCATTACTATATTGTCTAATGAAATTGAAATGTGTTTTCATACTTTGAACTATGTAGGAGTAATCTAATGTCACATAGATTGGTACTGAGTATCAAGTCTGTTAAATAACATTACTTTTTTGGTGATAATATTGCAAACTTTTAAATATACAAAATATAGGATACATCGTACTCATCCTATAAATTTCTGAATTTAAAATTTAAATGAAAACTAACAAAAAATTTAAGCAATGGTCTCATTAAACTGGTTTTGACTTATTTGATGTGAATTTACTTCTTTACATTCTTTTGACAGCATGTTATCAAATTTTCAATTAATGTTGACTATCTGCAATTTAGTTGATATTACTAACAACGTTTTTTTTTCCTGATTAAAATAAGATTATAAATAAAATGTTAAAAAATAATCGCCTGTCGTATTTGTGTGTGTGTGTGAGAGAGAGAGAGAGAGAGAGAGAGAGAGATGTATAGTATTTTAAATGTCAAATTCATTTAAGACTTGTTACATGCTTAGTTTTTAAAAACGATTTGTGGAATTTGAATTCTAGACTTTCATCTTACAACATACGGAACAACTAAAATATCCATAATAGTAAACGAAAAAACTACAACATTCGTTAACATGTATAGTATTAAAATTCTATAAAAATATCTATTTAAATTTTGCTTTCAACATCCAGAACGATGAGACATATAGTGACGACTAATTTGATTCATTTTAATTTATATGTGATTCAATTAAGATTAGCATTCCTTAAATTTTATAATTTTGTAACTTATAGTAGAATTAAAGATTATATCAAAATATAAAGAATTAAAAAATTGATAAAAATTTTGTTTATTTCAAGATAACCAATTTTTCTTTATTTTTTTATCTCTGACCAAAAAATACATGAGATGCCTATTGAACTATTTATCAAGCCTAATTCTCTATATATCTCTAAGAGGACTTCCTCCACTATCATATTCTCAAAAAAGTAAAAAATAAATTGTCAATTTAAATATTTCGGTAAAATTTGTTGTTTCTTTCTTTAGGATTACATTAATAATAATACTAATAAAATCAGCCTCTAAAAACAAACTTAAACTTTATGTGAATGTCTAGTATTAACATTTTTGGGACAAATTCAAATAATTTTATTTTCAATAATTTGGTTTTTCTTACTGAATATTTACTCCATTGTAACGAGAAAGAACTACGTTGTTTACTATAATATTGGGCGGGATTTCTCAAATACTTATATAAACAACAAATTCTTTTTGGGTATACAATGTATACTCTTACCAATAATTCATTTCTAATTATTGTTTATTTTAAGCTGAAATTTTGTTTCATCAATGTTGTACGTTTGTTTCTTTGTTTGTACAAAGTTTAGAATCCTAACATATTGCATATCACTTGTGAATTATAACATGGGTCCTATCTTTTTCAAATTAATTACATAATTTGAAAGGATTTTAAAAATAAGGAAGTTTGTTAAGAAGATATTTTCTCTCTCTCCTCTGCATGTGTTTGTGCGAGAGAGATGAAGGGAAGACTACGAGGTCGTTGTGCCAGTTACTCCGTTTATTTCCCTATATTTCCTGGAGAAAGGAGTTACTTATAAGTTGAGTTTAAAGATAACTATTTTGTTGACTCTTTAAAGTCGTTTTCAATCCTTTTTTTTTTTTTGTGAAATTATTTAGCCCTTGTTTGAGCCCCATTATTTGGCTAAGAATCCGTTTTGGAATAGTAGATTGATAGAAAATATGTAGTTAAAAATAAACTGAATGTTCCGCTTTCTATTAGAATTTGCAAGACAACTCCCCAAACTATTTGCATGCGGGGGCCTGCAATTTCATAAATTGCATGACACCCCCCGTCCCCAACTCCCCAAAACCCAAATTTTTTTTTTCCTCCAGTGGGCGCCTTTACCGGTGTCGCCCCAACTAACAGCGGCACTGCCACCGCTCACCATCGACCCGAAATTTTCCTCTTTTTTTTTTTTTTTTTCGAAACAAATTTTGAAGATATATAAATACTTTAATTGCTAGATTCAAGAACATGAAATACTTTAATTACTTTAATTGTATAACATTTTCTAAGTTGAAAGTAAAATCAATCAAATACATTTAATTGATAATTTCTATATAAATAATTTTTAGATAATTCAATTACTTAAAATTTATTTTCTTTTTATGTAAATTCCATTCTTACAATCAAACACACCCTCAGTTCCAAATGAATACAAAATACAATTCAGTGATTTTGTAAAGGAATTTGAGTTTTGCTTTTGTTCTATATAAAATGCTACTGATTTAAGTGAACGCACCCGATTCACGTCTTGATGCACAGTTTTAGCAGCTTTTTTATCTTTTATTTTTTGAAGCACACATTTGAGACTCCATTAATTTTCATTCCATTCCATTTTCATTTTTCTCACTTCTATTTTAGATCACAAAATCTTCCATAAAATAATATTACACGTAAATCGAAAACTTTTCATTCTTTTTTAACCATTGTTTATTTTTTGAACTTTGAAGTACACATTTGAGACCCTATTAATTTTCATTCCATTTCATTCCATTTCTCCCACATCTATTTTAGATCACAAAATCTTCCATAAAATAATATTACACGTAAATCGAAAAATTTTCCTTTTTTTTTTAACCACTCATTTTTGAAAAAAAACACTACTCCACTTCTTTTTATTTCCACAAAATGGGGGCCAAACGGAACTCTTGTAAGAAAATCGCCTAGGTGCCCTCCCACCTACTTCTATCCTACCAGAGAAAAATGGGCCATGCTAACTCTAATTGTCATTTTTTTTCTTGTACACAACTACGACTATAGATTATTCCTCTAATCTCTATCTCGATTTCTAATAATTGCAATTTGAAAGATAATAAAACTTCTACACGTAAACTCATATAAAGATAAACAAGTACTAAAATAAGTTCTATACACAACGAATTTAGAGTCGATAAAGTGACCCCTTTCATTCTATTCTCATCTTCTAGTTTCATATGACCAATTCAAAATTTGTTCAGAACCCAGAATCGGAATGTGAAAGTCCTGAATCTTTCTTTCTAATTGGTCAAAATTGGAAAACTAGTGGATTACCATGAATGTCAATAAATAAGGATAGAATGGTAAATTCATGCACATATTTCCATCTCCACATTTTAACCATCAGTTTCCCACATTAATATGTCCGAAAGGACAACCTGTCCTCCATCTCAAAAACTAAAAGAATCTTGAAAAAGAAATACAGAAATGTTATGCCCCTGAATCTGTATATATAGCTGATAGTATATTCATTTCAATTCTCATAATCCCATATGGCATCCCTGAAAATAACCAAGAAACACCATAAACACCTCAACAACCCTTTCCCTTCAAACCCGAAAACTCTCCCTTGTATTCATGGAAACCTTCTATTCGATTTTCAGTCAGTCCCTTCAGAACAGATCTATGACATTGGAAAGGATTTTCAGTCAAATTGGTCATCCAAAAATGGCGGGTCTCTCTGTATTTTCCATAAGTCTCAGCCTTCAAGATCCATGTGGTCGACCGTCCCAGGACGATCCTTTGTTTCTGCAGCAGTGGCTGAAACAGAGATTGAAGAGAGTAGAGGATCATTTGTTATCAAAGACAGAGATATCCACTCGATATGCAATCATCAAACCATTGATAATATCAGGACCATTCATACATCTGATATCGTTTTATGTGCAAATAATCAAGATTTTACCTCTTTTAGCAATGGACTGGACCAAGAAAGACAGAACAAAGGAATACAGTTACCTGCTCTTCTGATTACTGGGAAGATTTTCTGTGTGAAAAAAAGGAAAAACAGTATACAAAGTTCTGAATTTATAGAAAAACAGCCGTCCACTTATGCTAAGTACTGGATGCTGTTTGATCAGAAAAACAAAAATCAAATTGGATTCCAAGTGAGACTAGCAAAGCCAAAAGTGGAACATCGGCAGAAGCTTTCTCCAAGAACTTATGGTTACAGAGCCTTCATTTCAAAATTTGGTCGAATTCGGAGACTTCGAATTGGATGCAGTAGATATTTTTCGAGGAAGAGAGGAATTATAACAGTTTCACCGGCAGAAGAGGAAAACGTAATAATGAAGAATGAAGGTGTTACTGATTTTAATAGGATCTGCATTACATATTCTAGTGAAAAAAGCGAAAAATTCTATGGTTTTGGTGAGCAGTTTTCACATATGGACTTCAAGGGGAAGAGGGTGCCAATATTTGTTCAAGAGCAAGGCATAGGGAGAGGTGATCAACCTATCACATTTGCAGCGAATTTGGTTAGCTACAGGTAAACTATTATAAAATATCTTTAATAGTTGAAGATCAAATTAATCACTATTTTAACATGAGCTTTTGTCTAAATGCAGGGCAGGGGGTGATGAAAGTACAACTTATGCTCCTTCACCTTTTTATATGACATCAAGAATGAGGTCACTTTACCTTGAAGGATACAACTATTCAGTATTTGATCTAACGAAAGATGACAGCGTCCAGATACAGGTATCTAAATCTTCGTCAATACATTGTAGGGTCATCATAAATAGCAGTTGGCATTTGGGATTATAAGCATAATCCAAAACTCCACGATGGCTACCTTAGTATGTCTATTAATATGGTATGATGCCTGGAGGTGTTAAAAGAGTGTGTAGTTCAAAACCTTGATGACTAAGAATAAAGATACTCCTTCACTCCAATAATCTAATTTTCAAAGTCGGTACAAACGAGGAAAACATGAAACAGAACAAGAGTCCTTGGACCCCAGAGAAAGGAAATAAAAACATATTTCCTGTATATTGAGTTTCCATTCAGATAAGGTTTACTCAAGAACCAAAATTTTCACTCTCTTATTATCTGCAACTATTGGAAATTCTTGTAGACGCATGGAGATTTGGTTGAAGGTAGAATACTGCATGGGAACTCACCTACTGAGCTTATTGAACACTTCACAGAAACCATTGGGAGACCTCAAAAACTTCCCGACTGGATAATATCAGGTGCTGTGGTGGGATTGCAAGGTGGCACCGAAACAGTACGTCATATGTGGAAGGAGCTGCAGGCTCAAGAAACTCCAGTATCGGCATTTTGGTTGCAGGTTGAACAATAACCTATAAGTTAATATAGAAATGGAATTATTTCATTAAGATTTCTTTAATATACTTGAACCTAGAATAAATGTATTTACTATATGTCATTTTTCATTCTATTTTTACTTTGAAGTTGGGGATTGACATATGATCACGAATACTGGAAATGATTAATGGATCATGGGTAAAAATTTCATCCTATGCTCATTACGCAGGACTGGGTAGGGCAGAGGAAAACAGTTATTGGATCACAACTTTGGTGGAACTGGGAAGTGGATTCAAATAGGTACTCAGGATGGCGGCAATTAATCAAAGATCTAGGTGCACGGGATATTAAAGTGATGACATATTGCAATCCTTGTTTAGCTCTGGTATGCAACTCTACCATTAGTAATTATAATTAATATCAGGTATAATATGTCTGATGACGGTCCTCCGACTCATAAATGCAGATGGACGAAAAGCCTAATGCAAAAAGAAACCTATTTGAGGAGGCGACAAAGTTAGACATCTTAGTGAAGGAGAAAAATGGAGACCCATATATGGTTCCTAATACAGCTTTTGATGTTGGAATGCTGGATCTGACCCATCCAAAGACAGAAAGTTGGTTCAAACAGATTTTGCAAGAAATGGTGGATGATGGAGTCCGGGGATGGATGGCTGATTTCGGTGAAGGCCTGCCAGTTGATGCCTGCCTTTATTCAGGTTGAAGTCAAACTTATGTTGTCACCTCACTTCAGTCTCTAGGTTAAAAAGAAAAATAGAAAAACTAAAAAATAATTCAATTACATATCACAACTTTTTTTCCTCTTCATAAATTTCCCCTGTTTGCTTCCCATAGTAATGTGTACAATTGTTACATCTTCTTGAGAAAAATGCAACTACGACATACTTATAACTGAAACTCTAGTCCAAACATTCAAATCCATTGTGTAACCCAGTTCATTTACAATTTCATAGGTGAAGATCCAATTACGGCCCATAATAGATACCCAGAGCTATGGGCAAAAATAAACAGGGAATTTGTAGAAGAATGGAAAAGTAGTCTCGTGGGTAAGGAGAAGGAAGATCCAGAAGACGGCCTGGTATTCTTCATGAGGGCTGGTTTCAGGAATAGTCCAAAATGGGCGACCCTATTTTGGGAAGGTGATCAAATGGTAAGCTGGCAAGCTAATGATGGGATAAAGAGTGCAGTGGTAGGATTGCTCAGCAGTGGACTTTCAGGGTATGCTTTGAATCATAGTGATATTGGAGGCTACTGTTCTGTGAACTTACCATTTTTTAAGTATCAAAGGAGCGAAGAACTACTCTTGCGGTGGATGGAGCTGAATGCATTCTCCGTTGTCTTCCGGACACATGAAGTAAGTCGAAAGATTGCCCTGTAAAATGTATAAAAAAAAAATTAAACATCTATTCTAATATCACCATGCAAGGAGCTCGTTTCAGTGCATATTGTATATGTTGTTGCTCAAAGGGTAAAGTGGGAATTCAACTTCAAATCTAATCGTACTTAACAAATAAATAGGCATCTTATCATCATTGTTCATAGAAGTACCTCTGCTTTTTTAATTTTATTATTCTTCGCTTTTTAGTGCCATGAGATTTCACAATTGTTTGCTAATTTCTGACATTTCAATCAGGGAAACAAACCAACTAGCAACAGCCAGTTCTACTCCAACCACAGAACATTATCGCATTTCGCACGCTTTGCCAAGATATACAAAGCTTGGAAGTTTTACAGGATCCAACTAGTTAAGGTAATTTCAGTGTTGGTGGTAAAAACTTGAAGCAATTGGAACTGAAATCTAACCATCTCCGTTAATGTTTATTGTACAGGAGGCCTCTGAAAAGGGCCTACCTGTTTGTCGCCATCTATTCCTCCACTATCCAGAAGATGAATACGTGCATACATTAACGTATCAGCAATTTCTAGTAGGCACAGAGATCCTAGTAGTGCCTGTTCTAGATAAAGGCAAGGAAGTGGTTAGGGCTTATTTTCCAAAAGGAGAAAACTATTCATGGAAGCATGTTTGGACAGGAAAACTATATTCTAAACCAGGTTCTGAGGCTTGGGTGGAAGCTCCAATTGGATACCCAGCCATTTTTGTCAAAGACTCGTCTAAAATTGGAGACACCTTTCTGAAAAACCTCAAAGAATACAATGTCCTATAAAGAAGTTACAACCGAAATGGATGCTGTAGAATTGTTTAGGTTTGTTAACAAAGAGATGTACAGTCTCTACATATCTCATATTCTACCAGGCATTTGTTAATTTTTATGATGATAACCATCATCATACAAGTAGATATAACAAAGAGATGTACAGTTTCTCTACATTTCTCATATTCTACCAGGCATTTGTTATTTTTTATGATGATAACCATCATCATACAAGTAGATAAATCATTACAATTGCTTGAATTTCACTAAATTATTATCCTGTTCTATTTGAACATTAATCACTTCTCCAAAAACTAATACGATACGAAAAAAATAACATTATGAAGGGGGAAGGTGGGGGTTGATTGGTTTAGATAACAAAGATGACAATTGAAATAAAATCATGTTTCTTGACATAATTTGTCCCATAATTTCTCATTTCTGATATTTAAGAAAAGCAACGCAAAAATAAATAAGGCCTGGTCCCTTCAGCCAATTGCAATAGTTATGCACCTTGATGATGATTTTGGGCTAGCTATAAGTCCTAAATTTTATGGTCAATCTCTTAACATTAGCAACCCATTTTCAAACACTTGCATTGTTCTACTGAGTGAAACCTTAGATAAAAAGTTTTCAAAAATGTTAGATGTGACTTTAATTGTGTTCAAATTAAAAAAGGCAAACATGAATTTCAGATATTTGTCCAACTCTCAGGCAATAAATGCTCAAGCTTCAGCAGGAAAAGAAAGAAAAGAGAATAGGATTGCGAAATTTGGGAAAGAAATTTCACTTGGTTTCAACATCAAACAAATCAATATCTATATACTAAACTTACCAAATAAATTAAATAACCACATGGAAAATTTCTTGACTTGAGAATTAATAATTATTCCAAGAAAATACAGATATTTCCTGTGTGATCTCCAACATTAGGAACCTAATTTTCTTCACAAAAATGTATCTCCATGCACAAAAAACCAGTTTCATACGCCAATAATAGTACAGAACAATCATATATATTCGAATAATGCACACAATCATATGCCAATGGAGTTTACTTCATGTGAATAATAAACAGCCCAGTAATAATCAATCCCTAGGAATGAAAATCCTAAAACTATACTGTATTAGAAACTTCCAAATACAATTCCAACACCGTTTAAAAATGAAAAAAAGCAAATAGCAAATGAGTAAATATGCTGAGATAATCATATCCTTCAAACACAAAGGACTGCAGTATAATTATTTTAAAAGAACTAACCTTGAAGCAGAGATAATAATCCATAGAAAACAAAAATCTGATACTTATTTGGTAACGCAGGATGGCTGTTCAGAGTTCCAAGTTTAACGGATACGAATACTTCTGTGGGATATTCCATCGACTCTCTCTCTCTCTCTCAACGTGACTATTGCGGGTAATTGGCGCATTTAGTCTTCAACGTTGTTCTTCCTGTGCAAAATGGTCCTCTAACGTTTTATTTATGGTGCTGAGGTCCCTAACTTATCACTTTCCTGCACAATCAGTCCTTTTGGATGGATTCCATCCAATTCAGAACAAGTACCAGGTAAATAATTTTGCTACTATTTTGGTTAATGTAGAAGATATTCAAATAAGAACGTGTTCGTTTAGAGGTCAACAACTATCGGATTTTCTCATACATATTTGCAATATCGTCTTCAATTAAATAGCAAAGACCCGCTAAATTAATTGCACTACTATGATAAAGATTCCTATCTCAGAACATACTCTCCTACCATTGCTCCACTTATAGGTCAGTAGCTCTTGCCAAACACCGTATAACATCATTTAGCTCTAGCACTGTAAACAAATGTTAGGGAGACCGAAGAAGGCTGGGATGAGAGGAACAGACAAACAAATGGTGTCGTCAAGCAAACGCGAGAATGTCGTGAATATTGGAATTTTGGGAAACATGGAATCCATCCATAAGGACTGGTTATGCAAAGAAGTGATCGGTATGGGATTTCATCACCAAAAATGAACCATTAGGGACCAATTAGACATGAGGACAACATTTAGGGACTAAATGCGCCAATTACCCTGATTATTGCACATTTATTTGCACATCAAGTCCTTGTGTATTGGCTCAATTTCATTTTATGGATGATATGTTTTTTCTTTGTATTGACACCTCATCTTTTGTTAGAAGTTTGCCCGTATTATAGTTGCTTTAAATGTTTCTAACATCTACTTATTATCATATTTATGTTAATTGCATTCTTTAATTTCCATTTTTTTCTTAATCAGCACATCTTGTCTTTGATGACTGTTTGTGTCCAAAAATTTTGTTAAGATAGTGTAAAAGAATTAATAGTCCCTCATTTCTAAATAAGCAAAAAAACAATACAAAAGTACAACCAATATTTGCTTTATTATTTTAATAAAAACAAAATATGTTAAGTAATGGAAGTGTGAGAATAAGTGAAAAATACAAGAACTTTTAATATAATTAAAATTTGTGTAAATATAACTTTTCTTTTTTTTAATTAATGAGTTCCAGAACTAGTTATCAATTATTTGATTTAAAGATTTTAAAAATTGTTTCTAACAATAGAATCATTCTAAATCTTCTTGTTTAATTGCATGCATGATTGGAAATGCTAATATTTTAACAATGTCATCTAAACTAGTGTTCAGGTGGAATAAATGGGGCATTTGGAATCCAAGACCCTCAAATTTTCCGACTTTCGTTATTATATAAATTTATTATAAATATGAAAATAAAAGTAATAAAAACAGAAGATTTAGCTTTTTACATAGAAGGTCGTTTTAGCCTACCATCTAAAAAAGTTCAAGCATAACTACTATTATTTATATAGTGTGACATAAAAGTGGTCAAGGAAATCGTACATTATTCTAAACTTGAAGGGTAAACTTAGTTTGTGTAATTTTTAAAAAGATTTCTGAAATTGTCAAAAACCTCAAAGAAAATATCTGAAATTTGCAATAAATTAAAAGTTTAAGCTTTGCCAAACATAAACTAAGAACATCGCCCTTCATCACACCACTGCTTTTTTTGAAAATTAATATTATTCATCTAAAGTCTAGATGATAATTAATTCAAGTGGCAATAATTACTCTGTGAATAGCATTATTCTTCTCCAAATGTCCATAAAATATTCTCTTTACCCTAAAAAAATTATGATAATGCTATTTCTACATGATGATTTACATATTGATGTATAGAATGATAAGTGATTTTTTTTATTCCCCTAATAATTATCCATCAAAGCTTCGATTCTTGGTACATTGTGAAATCTTCATATGATTAATACATGTTATTGACGAACGGGAACATATTTGGGCTACATATATATGCAACTTCAAATATGATGACCTGTTCTAGTTATTATGATATCTTGTTGAGTAATGTCGTTTAGCAAAGTTTATGTGGCAATGGGTCATAACTATATTGTTTAATAAAATTGAAGTGTTTTCATATCTTGAACAATGCAGCACTAACCTATAACGTTTCATAGATCGGTGCTATGCATCAATTATGCCAAATATCATTACTTTATCATTTTAAAACTTAACAAAATGCAATCTTCTTATGAGTGGGGAATGAGGTGAACTTGTGAATATATAAAATAATTGCTAAAACGCTTTGTACTTATCCTATATATTCATAAATTTAAAATTTTGCCCCCCGAGACATAGCCCAGTGGTGCAAAGGATATGAGTGATGTTATCTCACGCCTTGCTGGCAGTCGCAGTGTGGAGGTTCGATTTTCTGAGACATGGAATTGGACTCCTTGTAGGCGCAGTATATAGGCAGTTCTTATTCCCTAGCCCACTGGGGCACATCCCGTGATTTACCTTCCTCACAAAGCTCTAGGCGGAGCGGTGGGAGCCCTCAAGGTTGAGGTTCAACCTTTTTTTTTTATATATAAATTTAAAAGTTTACGTAAAAGTAACGCAAAATTTAAGCAATGACATCATTAAACTGATTTTGTCTTATTTTATATGAATTTTTCCTTCGACAATAAGATCGGACTTTTACAAGAAATACAATTTTAAGCTTATTATTGACTTGGACAAATTGACTACAATCAAGGTATCCTGAAAATTTCTAAAGTAGTTCTTTATAAACTTCAACAATTCGCTTTTACCGAATATCACTATCAATTTGTTCAATTTAGTAATCAGACTAAAAAGTCTAATCTGGACGAATTTCATTAAAATACATTTCACATATTGCATCTTGCTAGGGATGGCAATACACACGAGCTCAGCTCGTGTGATGAGCTCATGGCTCGTCCGAGCTTTGGCTCGCGAGCTCGTCTATTTTTTTTAAACAGAATAGACAAATGTACACAAATGCATTTTTAAAAAAATAATTTAATGAAGACAATTTTTTTTTTTAACATATAGTAATATTTTCTATAAAGTGTTAAATATTTATGTAATGATGACGATTTTTTTTAAATCCATTTACAAAAAATACAGTTTTTCGTTTTCTTTTTAAAATAGATAAAATGTAAACTCTCCTCCTTTATTCCGGCTTGGGATCGGCTACATCAATTTTAAGTAGGTGTACTTAAAAATTATACACAAAGAATTTGTTGTAACGTGTACAATTTTTTTAAGAAAATTAAATGTAATGATTAAAAAATAAGAAATTTTGATTAATATAATTAAATCGAATATCACTTACCTGACGAATGTAATTTTGGCATATTCATCTTGTAGTCAAAAATGAATGTCATGTCAATCCTTCACGCACATTAACACTTCCAAAACATTTTTTTTCAGTCGACTCCTGACATCGGTCAAAACCCTTTTACTTACACTAAAAGTAGACTGCGAAGCAATATTGTTAACTAGAAGTGTTAGCAGATATTTTGCAATTGTAGAAACAACTGGCCAACATTTTTCGTACTTTCACCAGAATTTAATTACCTCTTCTGAATATTTTAAATTATTTTATCTGTTAACATATTTTAATTGAAGTAATCAATTAATTCGACAGGCATCGCATTTTGAGTTGCGGCCAGTGTTTGATAAGATGCAGATGTAGACGACATGGCACTAAATGAACACATTGCAGTTACATCATGCCTATATGTATCGATGCCTTGAACTAAATTCATTATTTCGGCGTCACCTTCTTCAATTTCAGTACAAGGAGTAGGTGCGGAGGGTACCCGACTAACATTGCACACCATTCGGTCCGGATATAATTCATTCATTTTATATAATGTTTGCCCTAAATTCCTATAGGTGATAGATATATTAAACGCTAAGGCTTTGCTAATTTGATCAACTACGTATTTAGTTTCCGATAAATTATATCAAGAGCTCATTACGCATGCTAAAGGAAATAATATAAGTAAGTCTTCCCATTATTTTTTAAACTTTAATTCTATAGAAATTATAATTTCACTAAAATCAGAGTCATTTTTATATTTATGCAATGTTCTTGCAATTATATAAAGAGGTTCAAGCACCATACAACTTGTGGGATAATAAATGCCCAATAAAATTTTTGCAGTCTTATTAAAAGATGTCAAAAATCTTTTATCTTTCAAAGCTAAATGCCTATCGGATTCATTCAACATAGCATCGTCATCGCTTCTAACGTGTCTATTATTATAAAAGTTAGTTATTAAATGTTTAATACCTTCATATGACTTCAGGCAAGTAAGTAGAGTTTCATCTATGACCTATGTCGCTAATAAATATTTTAACAGTCATCACCCCTATTTCGACACAATAATCTTCAAATAACTGTTTTCTACTATGGGAGATCGTGATATATAATAGTGCGTTTCTAATCCTTTAAAATTCATCATTTATATGTTTTAAGTCATCTTGCACAATTAAATTCAAAATATGACTTACACAACGAATATGAAACAAATACCCATCAAAATCAGGTTGTAGTACCCTACACAATTTATCGACAACTGCCTTATTAATACTAGCATTATTGAAAGTAAAAGACCGAATTTTAGTCTCACAATTATATTTTCTAACAATACTGATAATATCATTATATATATAATTAGTATTGTGAGGAAACTCAATAATTCTAAAAGCAATAATTTTTTATGCATACACCAAATTGGGTTTACATAGCGTGCGATTGCAGTTATATAAGCTCTTTTATTAAACCCTTCCGATATATCCGAAATTAAAGACATAACATCCCTCATATTATTGTAAAGCCATAATTAATTATTGTTTTGAATCATTGAAATATTGTATTGTATCGGTACAAAGAGTGTTTTGACTTACACCAACATATATTGGTTGCAGATATTCTTTTAAGTACGAGATGAAGTGTTGGTTATCGACAAATAGCTAGAGACAACTTAGTGGCGGCAACAAATTTAACTATTCTGGTTCGAGC